TACCTGACAGAGAGATAGAGAGACGTACCTGACGGAGAGATAGAGAGGACGTACCTGACTGAGAGATAGAGAGACATACCTGTGAGATAGAGAGGACGTACCTGACGGAGAGATAGAGAGACGTACCTGACGGAGAGATAGAGAGACGTACCTGACGGAGAGATAGAGAGACATACCTGTGAGATAGAGAGGACATACCTGACGGAGAGATAGAAGACGTACCTGACGGAGAGATAGAGACATACCTGTGAGATAGAGAGACGTACCTGACGGAGAGATAGAGAGACATACCTATGAGATAGAGAGAAGTACCTGACGGAGAGATAGAGAGACGTACCTGACGGAGAGATAGAGAGACGTACCTGTGAGATAGAGAGGACGTACCTGACGGAGNCTAAACAGGGTCTAAACAAGCACATACATCGACACACGTACATGCACACGCGCTTACGCCACACGCAGGCATTAACACCGCGAGTAACCGAATTGTAACGTAGCATCGCGTACTTGGGTACCACGATGATCGATTACGAAATAGTACACACTGATTGACAACACTACTAATATTAGAAATAGTAGCTACTCAGGCTAGCATATATGCTAGGCCTTAGTATAGCTCTAGTACGATATAGTCCGTCGTACAGTTGCGCATGGCCACGGCGGCCGGACGGGCCTGCGCAGTTGCTGGCTGCGACAACCTGTACGCGCCGCCTATAAGTACGGTATATAAACTAGAGCTAGGCCTAGTAAGGCTCATAGCAGTCATAAGGCGTCATAGGTCCCCCAGGTTCACTGCGGAACGTCACCTGGCGTATGGTCCGGCATATTACCGTGAACGTACCCTGGTCACTATTTGATATGTTAGGGTTAGGCATTAGGCATAGGGTTAGGGTCGGGCTCGAATTAAGCGACGAGAGGGCAGGCAGATTTTTTTAGCGGCTGTGAGGAAATCGCCTTGAATTTTCTCGTAAAATAGAAGGCACCAAGGGGGCAAATCTCTCAAAGTTTGGAGAAGGAGCACAAGCACGGTTTGTAAAAGTTAAGGGAAACTCATAACAAATAGGTACATCAAACATCGTCTTGTTTTATGTTAACAAACACAATATGCCTCCATGTAAGCTTTACACCCGCTTAACACTGACCCTGCTACCCACCTCATGCCTAATGGAAGGTTACAGCTAACAAGAAATTTTTTACATGCCCGCTATGCAGGAGCAAATAACGTATCGAGTGCTGTATTAATTCCTCCTGCGGACTATCGCGTTTTTACAGCTCATCATTGCAACTACAGCACGCACGCGCACGTGTTATGTTGGCATTTTCGACTAAAAAGCCCACAAAACCTAGGGCAGTTAGATTTAAAGGCCGCACCGCCGGCAATTACACAAAAGGGCAAGGCAGTGAACTGCGTCGGGTCGGGTGGATTTTCAGGGCAGTACGGCGATTGATATGTGGGTCACCGACGCGCAATTGCCGTCAGTGCCGTTGGTTAATTCGAGCTGGTTAGGTTAGGGTTAAGCGGTTCGGCGTCAGGTTAGGGTTAGGGGAGTAGCCCGTAGGGGATCCTAGGACTCTGTAGTGGAGTAGGCGAAGCGCCTACCGGTTCGGCATATAATATAGTACCAGGGTAACGTTTCCCGTATACGGGACCGTACCCGGTACGTTCCGCACAGTACCCGGGGGACATAGACCCTCCAGCACCTAGATAAGTAGTATAGCTCAAGAAACGTCTATTGCCTAGCGCGCTTAGGAGACCTAAGTGTATATTGATCTGTGTATATTGACGTTAGTCACACAGCCTGGTCAGGTTAGGCCTAGTAGTAATAGTAGTACTGTAGTAGTACGGTACTACATAGTAATAGTAGTAATACTATTACTAAAAGCCAATTACTGCTTGTAGTAAATACTGTAGTAGGCCTAAATACTATATTTACACGATCTTTTCAAGCCGATGTCCAAATTCTCACGATACAGAAGCCAGAGCAATACCTGTGACAACGTAACCACGGCACAGGCACTTGAAGCGTTTCAATAAAATATAATGCTAACTAACTACGAAACCTATTTACTACCAAATTCTTAATGTTTCTATACTCTCTCTATCACCTATTATTGCCGACAGTTTCTGTAATTCCGTCAAAAATCCTACATCCAACCATACGCTGCGGGCCACCATTGCTTTCGCCAGCGCGACTGTTGCACGTACACTAATAATAATAATATATATTATTAATATAATATATACATAATATATACTAGTGTAAGCCGTGCAACGAGTCGCGCTGCGAACCAATGGTGCCGCAGCGTATGGCTGGACTTTGTTAGGATTTTGGACGGAATTTCAGAAACTGTCGCAATATAGAGTGAAAGAAAGTATAGGAAACCATTGAAGATTTCGTACTTAGTAACTAGATTTCGTATTTAGTTTAGCAGCATTATATTTTATTGAAACGCTTCAAGTGCGTGTGTCTGTGAACGTAAACCTAAGCCTAAGGGAGCAGTGTAGTGACGGTACCAGGAGTCGTACTAGTCCGAGATTCCTCTGACCAATGCCCACACCGACGATTTTGGTGGTTTTGGTGTGGGTTAGGTCAGAGGAATCTCGGACTAGAGACTAGAGTCGTACCTGGACTAGATACAATAATGTAACCCAAACCCAGGATAGATACAATAATGACATTTAATGAATAATGTAACCCAAACCCAGGATAGGGGTTGGGTTACATTATTGTATCCCCCTATCCTCGGTTTGGGTTACCTTATTGTATCTATACCTGGACATCTGCAGTGTACTTCGTACCTTCAGCTCCTTCCCTAAACAGTAAACTGACATCTGAGCGTGTTTACATATAGACTGGTACTCGCTCCCACCTCTCGGCTTAGTTACTCTACTCGATGGGTAACTAAGTGTAATCGAGTAATCGATGTGGGATCAAGTACCAGTCTAGTTTACACAGTGTTGACCAAATTTGGTGTTGACCACTGTTGACCTCTCTGACAGCAACACAAGCCCACATCCTGTGTTACTTTCGTGTATTTTCGTACTATTACTTCCGTACGTTAGTGCCATGTACTATAATAATTATATGAATTGATGCATCTAATCGGTTAATATATCTTGTACATATATCTTGTACATATGGTATAATATTTGCAAATAATATAAAATTGGCTATTGTCATCATTGTCGCCATCGGTTCATTACGTGATTTCATATCGATCATCTCATAACACCACTTAGGATTTCCTTGGAGTTTATGCCACAGTTGTCCCGTCTTGTTGGCATATGTACATCAGGGGCCGGTTTCACGAAGCGTGATTAACTTTAATTATGATTAAATACTCAAGTACGCTTCGCCTTCGTGTGGTGAAACCGGCCCCTAGCTGTTCATCAGTGCTACATCAGTTTAAAGGGAGAGTTTACTCTAGGTTCTAGGGTTATTTTCAGCTAATTTAGGTTATAATTACGCTACATAAAAAGTTTCATGGTTCAATCACCATTAGAAATATTATTAAAAAATGTTTTAAAACTAACGACTACAGTTTCATTACAATGACGGTGGCGCCACTTAATGCGCACAATCTGATAAGTTGCGCAAAAACACTTTCCAGCCAAGGGCTACAGACCGAGGGTGTTTCTTATTTATTCATTTAAAAGCAACAGGATTTTAATATCTTATAAACGATATTCATATCCATATAGAATCCATATAGTTTCAGTTATAATATATAGATAAATTTGCCCTAAAATGAATATCGTTCGGTTAAATAGCATTTAGGTATAAATATAATTGCACTTTTGTGATTAGACCTCGATCTGTAACATGCAAAATAAATTGTCAAATACGCAACTTTTTCGGGGTGGCAGCACGGTCGCGAGTGTCATGGCGCCGTTTAAATTTCATAGCGTTGATGTGTAATTAATTATAACAATTAAATTAGGTATCTGGTAACAAATACGTGTGGGTATAGACGATTTGTTATACAGTAAGTACAGATGTATGCAGTAAAATCCTAGAGGCTACTGTCCCTTTAATATAGAAGAGAATATTCATAACGATATGTTATTGTAAATAAATATAAATTGGTAGGTAATAATGATGTGCAAATTTACAAGTTTTACAATCTTTATTTCTCTATTATCAAGAGTTACAATCTTTTATTTACATTTTTATCACCAGTTCTCACTCATTCACATGTATATAGATATTTATATTATATATATAACTTTATTGAATTATATATATGTTCGTAATGACAGTACAAACAATCGAATTTTGAATTAAAAATATAAACCGAATGACAGTACTTCAATGCAAGGATCATGCATTAATTGGCACTTAATTGTAATATACACTCCAATCACAATTTCCTTCTTGATGAGAATAAATTATATGCTGTTATAACTGCCCAGCTGATGCAAACAAACAACATTCCAGCAAAACAGGTTTAAATCTACAGAATTCTATATTATATAGTAACTTTCTTCTCAGTAAAATACTGATTTATCGCTCAGTTATGGATCAAAACAAATTGAAAAATAAATCTGATGAAGGCTATAATTGCTGTATAAAATCACAGCTCTGTTTTTTAGACCTTTCACTATACACACAATTTAATAATCCATGTATAGTAGAGCCAACGAGGCCATTATAAAGATATATATACACATAACATAATCAATTATATATATATAGTTTTGGATTTGGCACGTATATTGTGGGTCAGTCGCTTTGTTGGACTAGGCAACATCTTGGGGGTTGCCTAAGTGATGACTCATGGAAAACAATGTCTGCTGGCTCAGCTAGGTGACGAAGGCCTCGCAAGTCGAGCTTTTTGCTGGCGCTCACTGGCTCCACGGGTTGACGAGAGAAAACCGGACGCTCGGATGTTAGCGGCGCGAGGAGAAGGCAGCCGACCTGCTTTTGCTCACGTCTCCAACTTACATCGCTTAACTCCGACTCGATACGCTTCTGCGTGAAAGAAACGATGAGAATATCGTGTTAACAATGAGAGTGAACAATCGCCAAAAACCCGTCCATTGTAGGTTTCTATATTGATTATTGGCATGCAGCACCATTACATACAATAAAAATCAGAAGAATGTGGAATTCAAAGGGGTTAGGAGAGAACCATGCTGTAGGCTAGCTGTCAGTGTTCCTATAATTAATGAAAGTGTCAATGACCACTATAGCTCACCTTGGGTGTGATAGAAGAGGGAGATGATATTTAAAATTTGGCAATTAAGTGTTTCATTTATGACGAACCGAAATGTGATCAAATGTCCTTATTCCCTGATTTATACTAATAAAAATTTCACTGTTTTGTTTCAGGCTTAGTTTTGATGCGAAAATAAATGTTTCAGATCTTAAAGTCTGAAATCTGGGCGAGAGATGGCGCTATGCCTAAATGATCGCCATTTTGGTTTTCGAATATCGCGCAAATAAAAGCAATAAAATATTCCAGTCAAATTACTGCAACGAAGGATCTAAAACACAATATTACATGTAGGTATGATTAGGTAGGTAGGTAAGTAGGTAAATTGAACAGAATCGAATGAATCTAGATAGCCATTTTCATTTTTGCCAAAAAGTGGGCGTGGTTCGAAAGTAGGTCAACTGGCGTGCTCCAATATAGAACGTTCAAATCTCTCCCATAGGAGTGTGGCGATATGGATATGCGGTATCTCGGGAGTGAGAGTCTAGACACTCACTCTCGCGTGTCCTCTTCGCATCCACTAAACGTAGGATTAGTAGCATTTTACGGTGACCTTCCATCCC